CTGGTATAAAACTGACAAGCACTATTTGTAAATTTGGTACCAAACTTTATTTAATTTATTTCCTAAATAGAAACTTGAGCTCTACAAATTTGTAGCTTGAAGTATTTTTATCTAAAACAGTATTGTCTTCGAAAATTTCAAATATTATTACGTATACTTTGTCAATATAAATTTTCATAATCACTAATACAGTCGCATGTACATATACATACATACATATGTGAATGAAGAAAAAATAAATTAATTAATTAGCAAAACACTAAAAAAAATGAATCCATTGTGTAAAATTATATTGTGTACCATTATATCTGATAAAATGACGTCGCAAATCTCGTAAGTTCAGTTTAAATTTAGTAATAAAATTATAAACAATAAATAAAAGAAAACATTAACAACTAAATTTGTGCAAAGTAAAAAGATAAAGAAATAATTTAACCTCGGTTTTGCAGTCACATTTGCATTTAAACAAAAATATATTAAATTTACTCAGCTAAGGTTAACATAAAGATAATACAATTAAATGTAAGCGAGGTAGATATTCTTTCTACAGCGACTTAATACTTTAACGAGATAAAAAAGAATAAGAAATGAAATAAATGTTTAAAAAAAAACTACTTAATATCTTTTAATTTTGGTTAGTTATAGTTGAAACTTATCACAACAAAATGAATGGTACTCATAAATTTCTGTCAAATCAGGTTTTAAATTAAAAAAAATGTAAAATGAAAATTAAAATATAAAACAGAATAAATATTAAAAAATTGCAAAGTCTTATAAGTTTTTCGAAGCATCCATTTTACGAACTATCATCCATCGAAACCTATTTAAAGCGTATTTGACAAAACCAAAAACAAAAAAAAATTTAAGCGCTTTACTTCTTGATGGTTTATAATGTTTTCTTTTTTTAAGTAGGTATTTCTTTTTCTTTCTTACCTCATTGCATTTGAAATAGGGGAAATAATTTTTTTTTGTTGTCAACCATTTTTATTGTCGTATGATAGCCATTATGTGTCTTGAAATATATTAAGATTTTCATAAAAATTCACAAAGAGAAAATTCGCAGAGTTTTCGCAAGAGAAAAAAGTCATTAAAAGCAGAAGGAAAGATTAAAATCTGGCAATCCTAGCTAAAAAATGTGGAGGTTAACTGATTGTTATAAAATAAATTACGAGGAATGAAATTAAATCAAATTACTACACAGAAAAAAAAGAATAGCAAATCTACCTAAAAAAATAGTACATTTAACTAAAAAAAATGATTGATTTTCAACTTACTAAACACGTTTAGTTATTTTACCTAAAGTGAATTAGTTGTTTAACTTTTTCACTAATTACCTAAAGTTTTCATAAATTTAACTAATTCAGTAGTTGAATTTGCCACTGCTCAAAATAGAGAAGTTTACTAATTTTTTACAAAAATTAGTAAATTTTACTAAAGTTTTAGTAAATTTGGAAAAAGTTTTTACCTAATGGTTTAGTTAAATCAACTAAACAATTCGTAAAATTATCACAAAAAAAATTAGAAATGTAACTATTTAAATAGTTAATTTCCCTATTTAAAAGTAGTTAAATTAACTTATTATTTCGTTATTTATAGTAATATGTACTACTTTTTTAGTTAAATTTGAAAGGTCACTATAGTTAAATCAACTAAGGGATTTGGTAAAATTACCCTTGGAAATGTGAAAACTAACTACGATGGTAGTTAATTTTATGTATTCACTGTTGTTAAATTTACTAATATTTTAGTTATTTATAGTAGTATGAACTACTTTTTTAGTTAATTTTGAAAGGCCTTTTGTCTGATTATTTAGTTATCTCAACTAAAGGATTCGGTAAAAATACATTCAGAAGTGTGAAAATTAACTACGCTGGTAGTTAGTTTTATGTCTTCTATAAATTTAAGTTTACTGATTATTTTTATTATAATAGATCCTGCTTTGCTAGTTGGTTTCAGATCTTTTTATCCTTTAGCTAATTTTCAAATCTTAGTTAACCTAATTATGTGAACGATAAATTAACTATTTAATAAAGAGATAGTAAAATATCTAAATAAAATCATTTAATTATTAAACAAAAAACTATTTTGGCAGAAAAGCAATCTTTATTAATTATTTAAATTAAGTAATTACACATTTTTTACATTTAACATCGTTTTCTAATTTTCGAATTTAATTTAATTATGCTTGTAATAATTCTTGACTTATACATATTTAAACTAATACATAGACATTTGCAATTATTTTTAAGCTTATTACTTAAAGTTTACTAAAAGTTTAAATCAAATAAAAATTTTTAAGTTTAAAGTTAATTATATGTACCTTATGTTTGTTTTATTTTTTATCAAATATCTTTAAAAATTTAATCTTTTATAATTTATCAAATATCTTTTATAATTTAATCAAATATCTTTAAAAAAATGCTGGTTTAAGTTTGACCATTTTATTTCCATTTTGTAAAGTTATTATATTAAGTGGCGGATACCGTATGCGGGAGGTTTCAATTATTCTTAAAAGTTGATTTTGTTTTTTAGTAACGTTATAAGACAAAAAATGCCTTTCAAAACCTTTAATGATTAAATTCTCGCAAGCAAATACACACGAGTTATTTTTCATACATAAAATATATTTTATTGAAAAAAACAACAAGTTTTTTGAATCATTTAATACTATTACGTCATTGATTTTAAAAAGGGTATTTTTGACGTAAACAGTTTTAACACAGTGTATTTTAATGAAATCAGATGGTTTTAAAGATTCGTCGATGTTAAAATCTACCTTTTCACTTAAATCGACGACATCTTTGTGTTTTGTATTTACATTTTCCAAATTTTTTTTATTTTTTAAATAAATATCAGAAGCGAAGTTTAATTGCAATTTAATGGCCAAACTTAAATTAATATTTTTTCTGGACGTAATCACACTAGCATATGATTTTAACTGTTTGTGCTTTGCTTCAAATCTCATTGCCCACAGCTTTTTCAACGGACCTAACTTTTTTATTACTGTTGCATAATGCAAAATAAAATGGTGTTTTGGTGACAGATTCTTTTCAAAAAGATTTAAATACAGTTCATGATGTTGTTTGATGGTGGTTTGCAATTTTAAAAGAGTGCTGTCATCAAATGAAGGTGATAAACTGATATCAACCAATTTTGAAAGTAATAATAATAGTTCCCAAACTAAATTACCTTTTGGAATAAAATCGCCTATCAATAAGGGTAAATAGTAAAGAAAGGACTGCATTTCACTTGCCGACATTTTCAATTTCTTGTTAGTAATATGTAACTGAGTAATATCTCCTGATAAATTCGTTAAATCATGATGACTATACATAAAACTCGATTTTCTATTATTTAAAACCTGAATGCTAAAAAACTTCTCTTTAAAAATAAAATTTTCTAAAATAAGCCCTAACTCCTGATGGCAAATGCCTTCAAACAAGTCATGCATAACGTCGACAGTTACAATATCTGTAACTTTAAATGATTGTAAAAGGGTAAAAGCACAGGCTTCACGAACTCCTGTTAAAGATATATTATCATTTGATAAGTCCTGCAAGTAATTATTTTCATTTCTCAAAAGAGAACTATCTTCGCTTACTAAAGTTTGACTAATGCTTTTATGTATTTTGCAAATTCTGCAAAAATAATTTGCTGAAAAGCATTTGGTAAAACCTAATACAGTGTTAAGACCCAAATTGTCTCCAGTAATAGTTGCTAACACAAAATGAACATTTTTAATTACACCATCTACCTTAATATTTACACCATTTTCTTCTAAGTTTTGAAGTTCCAAGCAAAGTTGTGTGTAATTAGATAAACTACCAAATTCTAAACTTGAAGATTTTGTTAAACAACAAACTAATATATTTTCAAGTTTAGATATCATCTCAACAGGTAATAACGGAAAACTTAAGTAAAAAGCAGATATTTTATGTATTGCTGCCTTAGAACCTAGTGCACTATTCACTTCAAAGTCATCTTGATATAAAATAAAAGGAAAAATAATTTTCCCTTTCAAATGTAATATTTTGTTTTTCCATACTTCTCCTTGACAAATGTTTGTTATAGCATGTGTGTGTTCTAATTTATTTAAGTTATGCACCATAGTTTTAAAAATATTTGGCGATTCTAAAAACCTTCTAATATTTTCTTTTATGGGTAACATTACGCCTTTAATTAATTCGTCAGAAATATTTCCGACAGTTGTGCTGTTGTCAATGACAAACTCTGTAGGTTCCGTATACATGTCTTTTTCAACCAAAAGTTTTTTTAACTTATATTCAGAATCTAAATTTTCGAATTGTTCTTTGAAATATTTTAATTTTAACAACAGCTCAGCGATACTTATACTTCCTGTTTGTTCTATAAATAATATTAAAGGATTTAAAATTAGATTTTCGAAAGCTTTAATAATTTCAGCGGCTACGTTTCGTGGCAAAGACATTTTACCATAAACAAAAAATAATAACCCTAATACGTCTATTCTATCTAAATAACATTCTAATTTTTCAGGCAAGTTGCTGTTAGCAACAATATTGCTATTGTTATTATCTTTCATATAAAACTTATAGTTATCGGCATTGCAATCTATTACATTACTAGGAGATTTATCTAACATATCATTTTCAGTACTTTTTACAGATATTCTATTTAAATTCGTTTCTAATTTTTTGTTTTTGTATCCTACATTATTATGTTGATTTACAATATGTCTCTTAAATGTATAAATCGATTGAAAAAACTGTGAGCAATCCGTACATTTAAAATTCGAAAAAGTGTTTACTTTGTGCTTTAGTTTTAAATGAATTATGTATGTTTTTATACAGTTATATGCACTTGTACACAAGTAGCATGAATATAATTTTTCATTATTATTTTTATCCATTTTGAGTAATTAAAAAAAACCTTAATAAAATTTAAATTGAAAGAATAATATATATAGTCAATTGTGCATTACTTATACTTAAGAATATTAATTAACATTATTACGTACTCAACTTATTTAATTTTCGCAATTAAGATATGATAAAAGAGCTGCTAAAGCCGGCGTTTTAGGATATGACATTGGTAGTTCGAAAAAAAATTCTTCAGCAAAATTCCATATTTGCCTGCACTGGGGATCGTATTTTAAGTTCAATACTTGATGCAGTTGGAAGACGAACGCAAAAGCTTTCATAAAGTTGTCAGCATTATACAAAGTGTCGTTGAAATAAGTATAAAACTTCAATTTTTCCTCTACCTCTCCTACAACAACGATTGTGGGTTGTACGGTTAAATTTTTTGACATATATTCTTCTTTTTTAATATTGAATGATGACTGTATGAAACATTTTTGCTAAAAATTTCAAATAATACAAAAAATCAATAAATATCTATTAAGTATTCAATTTTCTTATAAGTTTAATGTCTTCAATAAGTACTAAGTTTTGTCAAAGTTCGTTTCCTTTTTTATAAGTATTTAAATTGATATATCAACATTTAAACCACCGTTCTGATAATTTTCAAGGTATGCTTATTTTCTGGAAACTTGCAATCTTTTTAATATTAAGTGCTTGATTGGCATAATTTATAACTAAGCAAATTAATAAATTCAAATAAACTGAAATAAATAAATTTAAGTTAAGCCAAACTATTATTTCACAGAACTATACAAATCATTTCATTTACTAATCATTTTTTGCGTAAAACAATATTTTAGTTTCCTTCAAATTTACTATATTTCATTTGTGTTTTTTTTATTTAAATTCTACAAGCAGTTAAGGTTTAAATTTTATAATTTTTTGAGAAATTAAGCAAGCCCAAAAGACGACCTAAACGGTGATTATAATATTAGTATATATATCTATAATATATTTTATAAAATAAAAAAAGATCTGATCAAATTTAAAATACCTAAAATTTATTAACAGCAAAAAAGTTAATGTTATTATTCCAAAATATTAATATGACTTATAATAAGAGTACAAGTATAGTGTTTAAATTACCGTAACGTGCATAAACAAGGCTTTTTGGCCATCCAAAATCGATGGTTTCCATGACTTCCTTCCATCTTTTATAAGTTGTGGTTTAAGTATTGTGTTCAATAAAGTTAATAAAATGAAATTTCTGGAATCTATTAAAATAAAAATTAATTAAAATTTTTCAATTATCTAGCTATCATCAAATTATTACCTTCGTCAAGGTTACCTTGTACAATTTCCAAAAGCTGCTTATTTTGCGAATCTTTTATTTCCTTTGAATACAAAGACACTATTTTTTCATTAAAAATTTTCCATTTTGAGAGTAATAATATATTTTTTTTTGGATATAGCCTCTCGAAATCGATTTCGATCTATAAAAACGTTATATATTAACTTTTTTAAAGTTTGTTTTATGCTTTGATTGTACATCACTTTTTGTGACGTACAATCAAAGTGTACTTTCAAAAAAGTTCCAAAATCACAAACATGAAACACTGTGAAGCTCCAAAAATTTAATATATTACATACCAATGATACTGCTATTTGTTGAGTTAAAATTGGCCACTTGACAAAAAAATCTTGTGAATTTCCTTTGTTTAATACGTCTTGTCTTCGAAGGTTAAAAGTAAGGTTCCATTTTTCAACTACAATGTTGTCTGGGAAAAAATTATTTTTCAACCAAATATGATGATTTTCCAATTCGGGATTATTTGTAATAGCTAAATTGAAAAGAAATTTACAAAAAGAAATCTAATTAAAAAGTTCAATTACTAACATTGTTCGTCTACAAGGTTTGTCAAATCTAATTCTTCACTGGCATTTATATCAAATTTTCTTTTACGTTGGTAACGACTTTTTACAATTCCCTCTTTTTGTAATTTTTTACATAAGTTATAATATTTTTCGGCTAATCTTCCTCTTTGTGCTTTATTTCCAATGTATACTTCCTTAAAATATTTATTAATATATTTTTTTATAAGTTTATGCTTTTTGATAATTTTTTTAATTACCTGATTTTCGGTTGGAAATAATAATAAAATTTGTTCGATGGCAATTTTATAATCAGTATCAATGATTCGTCTTTCTAAATTTACCCAAAATTCTGCGATAGTCGTAATAATATATTGTCGATCTTGATTTGTAAGGTATTTATTTTTATTATAATTCTTTAAAATATTTCTGCCATTCAAGTTGCTCTCTAAAGTTTCTTCTAAATTCTAAAAGGTAAGTAATCATAATCCAAATTAAATTTTTATTTAAATATCAATTAAATATCGATTTTGATGAAATTTTATATGTAAGTTTGTTTCCACCATGGCACGGATTGATCAATGTTTGGGATATATCAGGCCTCGGGAACTGCACTTTTTAGCGGGCCTGTTTTACATTTTTGAACATTTTGAAGAAAGTGTTCAACCAATTTACTTGAAATTTCATATATAAGCTCAGCTCGACCGTCCGCGAAAATTCCTATGTTTTGGAAAAAATCAGGCATCAGCAACTGGACGTTTACTACGGGCCAAATATACATTTTTGTGTATATGAAGAGAAATAATCAAGCGATTTAATTGAAATTTAATATTTAAATTCCTCGTATTAAAACAATGAACATATAAATGTTTTGGAAAGATCAGGGCTCGAAAACTGATTTGCGGGCCGATTTTACATTTTACCATATCTACGGAACGAATTGATGGAATTTCTTGAAATTTGATATTTGAGTTCTGGTTGTTACTGAAACTAACTGACGAGCATTTCAGGGAATTCGGGTAGCACAAAACGAAACTGTACTAAGATCTAAATTTACATTTTTCTAGGTATGTTAACTATAAGTTTACTAATGTCCTAAAAATTGGAAAGAAGTATTTAAAAGACATTTTTATAATATTCTGTAACCCTTTGACTTAACTAGACTTGCGGGCTTTGCTGAAGAACAAAAAATTTTAAAATTTAAAGATTAAAATAAATTTACATTTAAAGACAAAAAATGAAAACAATTCTAAAATGAGTCTGAAGAAAATAAAATAAAAAAATCTGATGTGATCAGCACATAACCGACCGCATTGTGTATTGTCTAGTTAAGTCAAAGGGTTACAGAATATTATAAAAATGTCTGTTAAATACTTCTTTCCAATTTTTAGGACATTAGTAAACTTATAGTTAACATACCTAGAAAAATGTAAATTTAGATCTTAGTACAGTTTCGTTTTGTGCTACCCGAATTCCCTGAAATGCTCGTCAGTTAGTTTCAGTAACAACCAGAACTCAAATATCAAATTTCAAGAAATTCCATCAATTCGTTCCGTAGATATGGTAAAATGTAAAATCGGCCCGCAAATCAGTTTTCGAGCCCTGATCTTTCCAAAACATTTATATGTTCATTGTTTTAATACGAGGAATTTAAATATTAAATTTCAATTAAATCGCTTGATTATTTCTCTTCATATACACAAAAATGTATATTTGGCCCGTAGTAAACGTCCAGTTGCTGATGCCTGATTTTTTCCAAAACATAGGAATTTTCGCGGACGGTCGAGCTGAGCTTATATATGAAATTTCAAGTAAATTGGTTGAACACTTTCTTCAAAATGTTCAAAAATGTAAAACAGGCCCGCTAAAAAGTGCAGTTCCCGAGGCCTGATATATCCCAAACATTGATCAATCCGTGCCATCGTAGAAATAAACTTACTTATAAAATTTCATCAAAATCGGTTTAGCAGAACTTGAGATACACGCGTGCACACAAAGACCGACAGACCGACAGACCGACGGACCGGCAGGTTGCTAAAAATAGTTTACTTACACTTCCCTACTATGGAGAAGTACGTTCCCACCGAAAACTTGATATGCAAAATTTGTTGCCATCACATAACCTACCTATTTTTTACATAATACGGTCGGTAAAAAGAATAAATAAAAGTAGTTTACTGAAATCATCCTATATTTAATATTCTTTGTTAAGAATATTGTCCAGGTACAAGAACAAAATTTAAGGGTATTACGCTAATCTATGGTTATAAAAATTTCAATAAAATAAATTAAATCAAAAAGAATAATATATCTACCATTCTACTGTTGTCGTAAGTAAGTATATGAAAACTATTGTATCTTATAAGTGCTCGTAATAATTTATAGCGATATTAGTAATTAAGAAAAAAAAATTAATTTACGTACAATACTGAATGAGAATAATCAATACAAAGTTTAACATTAATACATATAAATTTTAATAAGCCATAAAATGTATACCAGTGTAGTAGAATCAGCAATAGAAGGACTTGAAGGTGCTGATATAGTATTAATCCAACTTGAAACTTTAGTTATTCCACTCACTGTATCGGCTGTTGCTATGATTTTCTGAAATGTGAAATTTTTTTATGAAATATAAAATTATTAAGAACAAAAAGTTTCCATTACATTTTTGCTTTTCCATTCAAAAAGTCGAGTCCTAAATATAATTCTTTGCCCAAATTTCTCTGCAGGTATAAGTAAGTTTATATCCTCAGTCGTCAGATTTTTCAGAACCTCAATATTGATTTTTTTTCCTAAAAAGTTAAACTGTTTTGTTAAGTTTAAATATTGTAAGCAAACTTTACCTGAGAAAATATTTACATTTCAAAATGTAAATATTTTCTCAGGTAAAGTTTAAAAAACATTATAATTTAAGTTAGTTGCTCGTGTAACAATGTGGGTGTTACATACATAATTATTATATTGTATATTACGAGATATTAGATTGAATTCAAAACAACTTCTTGAAGGCAAGTATTTTTAACTGATATCTTATATGTATATGATTTCAATTTATAGTTTTAAATATTAAATATTATTAATAAACTTGTTTTAGAAAAATAATAGTATTTTAAAAGTTCCATTTGTACATATGCTGATATATGTAATAGATATTATGTAAATAGTTGTGTATGTACACATTTTTTTTATATAAAACTACAGCAGGGAATGCAGGATATATACTTATTTTTATGCTTATTTATACATATATTGATAATAATATGTACTTTTAAGTCTATACATACATACTTGCAAAATCAAGCACCAAATCCTCCAAGCCCCAACTTAATAACATGGATTCTGTTGTTTTGCAAAGTTCTGGAACTATTTCAAATGGTATTGTATTCAAAGTGCATTCTTCCAATATTTCACTCATTTTTACGGAATAATTTGTTTTTTAAGTATATGGGTATGTTTCGTTAATTTATGTATCAGGAAAATTTTCTTCTTTAAAATTATGTATGTATATGTATGTATGTGTAATATATGATACTTATGGATGGATGTTTGATGGAAGCTTCAACTTGATGACTTGATTTTTTACTACTTATATAAAAAAGCAGTGATTACATTATATTTAGGCTACAAATCCACTTTTTACTTACATATTATTTTTAACAAACGAGTATATTTATATAAGAAAGCAAATTAATATATAATGTATGCACATAAAACATTCAGTAAACACACTTTATTTTGTTTAAGTTATGTATTCCGCTTTATAACTTTTACTTTTATATAATTATCAACATTTATTTATTACACTTTTAACTTAAAAACAGTTTAAATTATTTATTTAATTATTTAACGAAAAATAAAAGCACCCTTACACTTTAAAAATGCGCGTCAATATTTTAAAAGAATTTTACTTAGACTGATCGCGTCGTATGTTTTTACAGTTATAAAGTTTTTTTTTTTTAATTCTTTTGTACATGTCAATAAAAATTGTTGCCAAACTTATTTCGTCTATTATTTTGCTATTGATCATTACCATAGATGTAAAATGTTTGATTATAGCTGCTGAAGTTAAATTAACCAAAAAAGCTTAAAATTTATTTGAAAACTTTTACAGAAAAAAGTAAATACATGTAAAATATTAAAATAATTTATATTTGTGAAAATATTTTAAAGAATAAAGGTGATATTATTAAGGAACCAGAAAGTTTGCAACTGTTTATACAGAGAAATTTGTATTATAACTTACTAAATTAAACTAGGTAACTTAATTTGCAATAACGCTAAAGTAAATAAAATAATTTACAAAATGAAAAATTGCTATAAAATAATTTCGGCAAATTTTCGATTCAAAAGCTTGAAACAAAAATTCTGCCAAAATTGTCTTTAATGCTTTAAGTATATATTTAAAAACGAAAGAAAGTATTTTATGAAGCTTAACTGCTTCAAATTTTAAATACGACTCAAGTATGAATCGAAAAAACATTATAAAAACCGAATTTTCGCTCATTTTTACAGTCTCGAATTTATTAGCACTTTTACTATGGATTTTAGCTGAATTTACGTCAATTCTATAAATGATAGTAAAATTAGTTAAGTTTACTGCATTAAATAGCAAAATTTACCAAAGTTTTTGTGAAATTTCCTAAAACTTTAGTAAAATTAACTACTTTTCCAGTACTTGATTTTATTTTCGTGTTAAAAAATGTCCAATTTGAAGTCTTTAGCTTAAAATTAAAGGAGTAAAGAGACATATCATAGACCATTTCCAATAGGAAATCTTAAAAAGTGATTTTAAAAAATTGAAAAAGCTATCTTTCTGTTTTAGCTATGAGGTAAATGTAGCTTACACAATACTTACGAAGATTATTAATTTTTATATATTATGTAAATCCACAAATTGACATGAACATTTTGATGTACAAATAAGAATCGGCATTGTGCGAACTAGAATTTGAATATGATTAAATTTTATGTGCAAAATAGTGTAAAATTAAGATATTGAAAACAAAAGGAACCTTTTATTGTAAATTTAGTATTACTTAGATATTTTTACTAAATCTTCAGACTTATTATTTTAATAAAGGAAAGTTTTGGTGACTCGCTAGAAATTGTGCACCTTTTCATAAATTGATAAATTTTGTTCTTAGGCGAATAATTGAAGCTACTTAGGAGTTTTAATACTTTTTAGTAATAAAAGTGAAAAGCTATTATTTTTGTTTGTTTGAATTATTTTAAGGCAGAGAAGTAACTTATATTTTGCACTTTAATATAAATGAATAAAATTTCAGTTTTGAAATCAGTTCGCCACAAACTTGTTTTAGGTTCCTAATTTTTCTTACACATCAAGCTAGGTAAAATTTTTAATGTTATGATCATCTAACCAAAAATTTATAAAGTTAATAAGTGTTATGTTAATCTGCAAACGGCAAGATGTATTTCTATGAATCCATGCGTATGAAACTACATACAAACTGAAAAATTAAAAAAAATAGATATACGCGAATCGACGTTTGAAAATAAATAGTTTTAAAATAAAAAACAAACGGGATTTCACCAACAGTAGTCATTTTGTTCTTTTTATTTTTGTGAGTTAATAAATTTTACTAAAAGTTTAAGAAATTTTACTAAAACTTTAGTCAATTTTACTAAAGATTAAGAAGTTTTAGTTTTTTATTTAACACGTGCAGTAATCTTCACATGTAAATACATGTCTGCAGTATACACAAACATGTATATATACATACGTATATATACATAAGAAATCGCTAGAAAACGAACTTCCTTACATACTTACACACACATTATTATGTATGGAAATTTCAAAATCTCATTGCGTCGCCTTTTCGGAGCTGTGCTCTTTTTTAAGTCTTTTATACATGGTAGTTAATACATACATATGTATGTATATGTGCATTACCTGCATAGATAGTACATATGTATATGTAGATATAATATTATTTTAAAATATTTCTAACGGTCTTGTATGTCGTGTATGCACATATGTGTGTGTATGTATAACATTGAACTTAGCAAGCAAATTTAAATACGTAAATAACCTTAGTATGTATTGTAGTGGGAAAAGTGACTACTACTTTAGTTAATTTAATATTTCAAGAGTTTTTTTTTTATGAAATGTCAAAATCAGCTAAAATGTTAGTTAATTTTACTACTTTTCTAGATTTTTTTAAGAATGGAAAAATCACCTAAAGTTTTAGTTAATTTTACTACTTTTCTAAATTTTTTTTAAGTTTCTAAAATATTTTATAAAGTAAGCAAATCAATGATAAGTGTAAAACAAATTTTTGGGAGCATTTTGCAATGTAAAAGAACATAACTTTTTTTTCAATTTTACTATATTTCTATTGCTACGTAGACTGTGCAAGTTATCTTAACTTTTATATTTACTTGAAGTTTCATGCAAAATTGTTTCTAATTTTGATATTGCACCTAAATTATTTCAACTCAAGTTGAAATTTTACAACAGCTTAAAATATATTGGTTCGTTTCCGATTTTTCTTTAAATAAATCACAACCCATGAAGCTTTATTTCTTTATATTTAAATAATAATTCCAATTATGTATTTCATCAATTAATATAATATTCTGGCCCAACAAACGATTCAAAATTATTAACTATAACAGTTAGGTTATTTAACTAACACTTTAGTTGAAATTTGGTATAACTTTTTTTTAAAAAGGAAAATTTAACTAAAGTTTTAGTAAAATGAGGAGTTTTCTATTTTTGTTTAATTTTAAAAATTTTCAAATATTTCAGTAGTTACAATTACTAAATAAATAGTTGATTTTTTCCAAAATTATTAACTAATTTGGTTTAGTTGAATTACCTAAACAGAAAAATTCATTTTAACTAAAAAAATGTGAAAATTAACAAACTCTTTAATTAATATACCTAAAGACAAATTAACTAATTCAAAATAGTTGAAAAAGCTAAACTTTTTTTTTCTGTGTATGTAAAAGTACTTGAAATACATTTGTTTAGTTATTATTAAAATTTAAAAAAAAAAATATTATGAAAAAAATGTTTTGATAGTTTAATGTTTACCTTACTTTAAAATCTCGATCTTCCTTGTGTTTTGTTTTTCTGTTTTTGTGCACTTCAAAAATTTTATTTAAATACTATAATATCTCACATAACTTTGATTAAAACTTTCAATGTATTATAAAACAATTTAATAATGCTTTAATATTTCGGACTTTCAGGGCTTTGTACTATGTAGATACTCTTTATGAATACATTTATAATTTATAAATAATTTTTGAAACAAAGTTAACATATTCGAATATAACGCGTTCGACTCTATCACGTTTTCGGATGAAATTTTAAATTATGAACCTAATTGTTATGGCTTAATCTATTTTTTAGCATGACCTACAGAAAAATTAATTTGCTCTGTGCAGCAGTTCTAAACAAAAATTTGTATGAATTATAAATCTGATTTTTTAAAGTTCACATAAAATATTTTTAACTAATTAGAAAATAAAAAAAAATATTTCGTAATAAGTTAATTAGCTATTACTTGTTATAATATGCTATCACTTTTTTATAACATAAAGTGCCATTATTACTTTTCTCTTAATGAGTGTTAAATTTTAAATAATATTAACACAAAAACTATGTGCATGTTTTTTTAACAGAAAAATGCAAAAAAAATTGAATTGAATTGAACTTTATGTATATATGTATGTGCATACACAAAAACTTTAGTAACAAACTAATATTGTGAAAATCTACAGCGCAATGATTTCATCTGAATTCATCGTTTCGTTACGTTAATTTGGAAATTATGCGTGTTCAATTTGTAAGTAAATTCAATTTCCAACTTATGTTGGGATTTTTTAAAATTTTTTTATGTACAATATAAGCTGATGAACTCAAAATACTTCAACTGAAATGTGATGAAATGATAATAAAACTATTTACTTACAAACATTTTAATTTAAATTGCTTTGTGTGATTTTAAATCAAGCACTAAAAATTTTATTTCGGCATTACTTAAATATACGATTGTGAAAAAGTTTTTTATAAGATCGTGAAACTAATTAAATGCTTTTTATTTAATAAATATTTTTTTAGCACCTTCGGAAAGAATTTATGTTTTTTTGCCCTTTCTTAACACATTTCCCAAAATTGGTTAAACAAATGAATTTCTATTAATTATGAAATCATATTAATTGTTCGCAATCATTACTAGTTTTCTCTAACAAACATTACACACAAATGTTACACAAAATAGGTAAACAATATATTCTCTTATCTTATAAGAAATCATTTCCAATAACAATATCACTTTATATTATTTGATTTGAATTTACTTTGAAAATTATTGAACAAAAATTCAACAAAATTAAATATCTGATTTAATTATCAACTTATTTCAAGAAATTTTTATATATTCT